AAGAATCTCCGAAGCAGCGCTCTGCGCCGAAATCCACGCCGAGCAGCAAGACATGGACCTGCAAGAAGAACGACACAAAAAGAAGACATCAGCACCGGAATTCGCGTTCCACACTCAGCGACGCTACAACAACAACAACAACCGGCAGCAACAACCGAAGCCAGTACCTCCGTTCTGCCACATCTGCAAAACTTCAGGACACCCGCGTACGCACTGCCCAAATCGTCAACAGTCAACAACTCCACAGCGGCAACTTCGACCTTCAAGCAGCCAAATCGCCTCAACGCAAGCAAATCCCACGACCCAGATTCAAGCCTCAACGACTTCAACGGGACAACCTGCACAAGGAGCAAGAAACATCGTCAGCTGCATGGCAAAGCTGAGCGACTCCTGCATCACCGAGTCACCACCACACTACTCACCGGAAGAACAACTCGACGAAACCACACCCCGCCGCGAGTCACTTCAGCCGAACCCGACATACGCCGCCATCGCCCAAAGCGAACCATCCGGAAAAGACACATGGTTCTTGGACAGTTGCTGCGGACAGCACATGTGCTCCTCGGGACGCTTCGTTCAACGAGAACACCAACTTCAACGCGAAGTTGTCATTACAGTCGCCAACAATCAGAACCTGCGAACACGACGACAAGGCGTAGTTCAACTTCAGTCAAGGGAAACAAACGTTATACTGCAGATGTCAAAAGTACTAATCGCAGAGGGACTCGGCTACAACTTACTGAGCGTTAGTCAGCTAATGGCGAAAGGGATTCACCTCGAAGCAGACAGCACCACCCAAGAATTCAAGCTGTATCATGGGAGAAGAGGACTTTACATTGGCAAGGCGGTCCTCAAGAACAACGTCTTCGTTCTTGATTTCGTTCCTGATCTTGGCACCGCTGACAGCGACGCCATCGTTAACTTCACCAACTGGACACACCCTCCAGACCTTGATCCAGACTTCAGCCCAGAAGGCTTCTGGTACTCACACACCATCCCTGAAGCAGAAAGAACAAGGGCGTTAGCAACAATTCAGACAACATCAACAGCAGCAGAAACAACATCGGCAGCAGCAGAGACAACATTGGCAGCAGCAGAGACAACATCGGCAGTAGCAGAACCATTAACGGCAGCAGCAGGAACGTCAACACCAATTGCTGGTCCTTCAACGACACCGCTCCTCATCGACGACACACCACCGACACCCGCGCAACAACTACACCCAGCAACACAAGAAGTTCATCGTAGCGCCAACTTCACCGCCAACTTCTACTCCAACTCCGATATGTACCGACGATCACCCGGACATCGCGCCGACGAAAGCACCTGGCACGCAAGGATGGGACACCCAAGCAACACAGTATTAAACAATACGATAAGAGCAGGAGTACTCGACAAGGACTCACTCCTACTGACCGACGGACGAGAACTTCAACGAGTACGCGGAACGTGCTTCACCTGCCCTGAAGGTGACTTACCACATCGACCGTTTGCGTCTCATCACAACCCGAGCGCACCCGCGTACGCACCACTCGAGAAGGTGTATAGCGACATCCTGTACAATCAGGAACCAGGACAAGCAATATACAACTATACAATCACCTTCATCGACGCCGCCACCCGTTACGTCTGGCACCTAAACCTCCCCAGCCGCGACATGGCATTCGCAGCCTTCGTTGCCTGGCTACCAGTAGCAGAGAGAGAATCGGGCGTGAAACTGAAAAGCTTCCAGTCAGACGGAGGAGGAGAATACACCTCTCAGCGATTCAAGCAGTACCTGGCGGAAAGGGGAATCAAGCGGCTCGTCTCCCTTCCCTATGCCCATCAGCAGCAAGGTGTAGCAGAAAGAATGAACAGGACCTTGCAGAACAGCATGCGCAAACTGTTACGTGGCATGCGGCTACCCAACCACCAGTGGCCTGCGGCAATGGACCACGCTGTCATGCTGCACAACTTGCTCTCGTCATCATCGCTTCCAAACAACGCATCACCGCATCTGCTATGGACAGGAAAACAGGGCAGCAAAAAAATGTTACGAGTATTCGGATGCATGGTACAGTACCGACCCCCAGCAGCACGAGCGGGCCGATTTTCTCAACGAGCACAGTGGGGACTACACCTGGGAATCGAAAAGAACTACAACGCGTGGAAAATCTTCGACGTCCATTCCAAGGAAACAGTAGCAGCACGTGATGTAATTTTCTACGAACGACTCACGCTCCAGACATACCTTGCCAACCTGCAAGAAGACCAGGATCCCACAGGTGGTTTTCGCGGTGACCGAGCCTTCGCCTCAGCAACGGACGAAGCTGACTGGGACGAGCAGAATGTGGACAACGCATCAGAAGAAGCCGGACCTCTTCCGTTCTGCTCCGTGGACGTTCCCATGGACGAAGATAACCCTCGCGAAAGTGTCAACGCCGAAACCTTCTACCATTTCGCCGACAACGGTTACGTAACACCTGCGACAGTCAACATCAACGAAGCAGAACGAGTAGGACCCAACTTCATACCTGATCCAGAAGCGGGAGATGAAGCAGCTTATCCCGAGGACGCAAATCTTCCCCGCTACTCACAGAGTGGACTGCAAATTCTCGGACTCGTCACCGCAGTCCACGGCACCGTCATTCCTAAAGAGCCTGCGACGATTCAACAGGCTCTGGGGGGGGAGCATAAGGAAAAATGGCGCGAAGCCATGGACAAGGAGCTGAAGGCACTGGAGGAACGCAACACGTGGAAAGTGGTTCCTATCGGCGTGGCACGGAACAAGACAGTGCTCACCGGGAAGTGGGTCTTCCGTGTGAAGACAAAGGCTGACGGCACCATTGACAAATTTAAGGCTCGCTGGGTTGTACGCGGCTTCGACCAAGAACACGGACGCGACTTCACCGAAACTTTCGCTCCGGTTAGCCGCCACTCCTCACTACGCATTCTCCTCGCAATCGCCGCCATGAAGAAGAAGAAGCTGCGACAAATTGACGTCGCGAACGCGTTTCTCTACGCACCTGTTGATGCAGAAATTTTCGTCGAGCTACCGCACGGCTCCCACAGAGAACCCAACCAAGTCTGCCAGTTACTCAAGTCACTCTATGGCATCAAGCAGGCTCCGCGACTGTGGCAACAGTACCTGCACGCTCGCCTCATCCGCATCGGCTTCAAGCAACTACCGCACGATCAAGGCATGTACCGGCTCACAAAAAACGACGACTACATCCTACTAATCGTCTACGTGGACGATCTCCTTTACATCGGCTCGAATGACGGCATCACTACCTGGTTCGAAGGGGAGCTGCAGCGAGATCTCACGCTCACTGTTTCATCTACCGTCACTCAGTACCTTGGCCTCAACATCCGGGAAGAGGAGGACGCGATCTACCTCAGCGCCGAGAAATATGCCGACACCATCGCCAAACGCTTTACGCTCACACCGACAGCCATCTCCACGCCATACCGCTACACGGCAGGGAACGACAAAGGAAGCTCCGCTCTACTCAAGCCCGCCGGCATACGAGACTACCAGAAGAAGCTGGGATGTCTTCTCTTCGCAGCCGTCACCTGTCGCCCCGACCTCTCATACTCCGCAAGCCAGCTCGCCACCTACCTCAAGAAGCCTGAAGCAGAACATCTGGCAGAGCTCGACCGCGCTCTTCACTACTTCGTCAGCACCCCAACGATCGGCCTAACTTACTACAAGAACGCAACCACACCGACTAAGTTAATCGGCTACGTCGACGCTGATCACGCTGGCGACTCTGACAATAGGCGCTCCCGCACCGGCTACATCTACCGCCTCGAACCTATCGGACCTATCTCTTGGCAGTCGAGCAAGCAGGAATTAATTGCCCTCTCGTCAGCTGAAGCAGAATATATTGCACTCTGCTCAGCCACCAAGGAAGGACTCTATCTTCGCGAGCTGCTGGAAGAAGCGAAGTTAGCCGAGTTACCCAACTTTACCCTGTTCTGCGACAACCAGTCAGCAATTCGCATCGCCAGCAAGAACGGCTTCGCAAACAGGACGAAACACATCGCCCTGCGATATTTCTTCGTGAAGGATGAGATCGAGAAGGGAAGGCTCGAGCTGTCATACTGTCCCACGTCTGAGATGGCAGCTGACTACCTGACCAAGAAGCTCGGAAAGGAGAAGTTCGAATACTGCATGTTGCTGACTGGACAGAGCCACGTCAGCGACACTCCAGAAGCGAAGGGGAGTGTTGGAAACAACTGATTTAGGCGCCTCTGTCGTGTCGAAACACCAAGACAGAAGCGAAGTAGCTCGTATCGAAATATCGGTGAGTCAACCCTCGGAGGTTGAATAACTGTTGGAGGTTACGCGAAAGTCAAAGGTCAGCGACCTTTGACCTGACAAATGCAGCGCGACAGCAAGGACAACCAACTGTCTCGATACTGAGCAGTTGCCCGAGTCGACACTGTATCGAACCGCAACAGCAACAGTAAAACAGTTAACTGTATCTCTTCATATTCCTTTGTATTCTTATAAAAGCTTGTATCTCTTTTATTATCATTAAATTACTTTGTCCTCACATACTAGTGCAAGGTGGTTCACAACTCTTTAACGCTTCCGCTACTACACCAACTCTACCCAGAGTTCACCCCTGCAAAGATCCTAAGGGCTTCTCAGCCCAACAACAGATACCATAGTCCAACCACCGTTCCCATCAACCCAACCGCCACACCGTCTCTGTTCGCCAACCAGCAGAAATCATATAGTTGAAAAGGCGTAAAAATACGCTATTTTCCCACTTCCGCCTTGTACTGTTGGTACACATTCACATGCACCAGCCTAAACTAGTCCTGGCCAATCAGTCACCACCTGCACCTGTCTGTCACCACCCGAACCTGCCCAGCGCCTACACGGATGGCGGAAAAGCGCCGTGCCAAACACCGGCGCGTGCCTTGGCTTGCAAGCGCACAGCACGCCGGTGCGCGGTGCATGCGTGCATCATAGTGCGGCGCTCCCAGGTCGAGCAGCATGGAGGTGCCTACGAGGGCGGCGGAAAAGCACCGTGCCAGACACCGGCGCGGGCCTTGGCTTGCAGACGCACGGCACGACGGTGCGCAGCCAAGCTGTGAGCGCGGTGCACGCGCACATCGGAGTGCGGCACTCCCAGGTCGAGCAGTGCGGAGGCGAAGACACAGAGGGCGTCGGGATCCACGTCCCTCATGGCGGCCGTGTAGCGCTCGAATATGAGCGATGCACATGATGGGTCGCCACTCTGCGGGTGATGGGTGCGGGCGAGGTGAAGGGCGAGGTGGGGGGTGAGCACATAGGGTGAGCGCACAGAGAGCGTCCGGGTCCACATCCCTCATGGCGGCCATGCAGCGCTCGAATATGAGCGATGCACATGATGGGTTGCCACTCTGACGGTTATGGGTGGGGGAGAAGTGAGAGAGTCTACTTTTGAGGCGCCTCAAAAGTAGGTCGAGCAGTGCGGAGGCAAAGACACAGAGGGCGTCCGGGTCCACATCCCTCATGGCCGCTGTGTAGCGCTCGAATATGAGCGATGCACATGATGGGTCGCCACTCTGCGGAGGGCAATGGGTGGGGGGGAGGTGAGGGACGAGGGAGAGAGTGGTGGGTGGGAGCAAGTGGGGGGTGGGAGAAATAGACCAGAGGCGCCTACCCCTCACAGCCCCTTAGAGCAGAGGCGCCTACCCCTCACAGCCCCTTAGAGCAGAGGCGCCTACCCCTCACAGCCCCTTAGAGCAGAGGCGCCTACCCCTCACAGCCCCTTAGAGCAGAGGCGCCTACCCCTCACAGCCCCTTAGAGCAGAGGCGCCTCCCCAAAAAAGCAAGCAGGGAGTAGAGGAGCACCTTGCGGGCGAAGATGGAGGCGAGTTTGAGCAGGCGGGCACCCGTGGTGGGATTGAGGAAGTAGCCCGCTGTGAAGAACTCCTCCTGGTGGGGGAGGAAGTGGGGTGGAGGGGAGGTTATGTGAGCACATGTGCGAGGAGGAAAGGACATTAGCAGATGAACGCTAGTGTGAAAGGGTTGAGGTGAAAGGCAGGCAGGCAGGTGGTACAGTGTGCGGTAGCGATAGCAAGAACAACAGCAGCGGTAGCGGCAATGGCGAGCACAGCGCCCTGACCATGCGCGGCCTGCCCTGCCATGCGCGCACCCCCCTGAGCATGCGCGCCCTGACCATATATTGGAGTGCGATGGCGGTGCTCTCAGGCGTAGCATGGGCCATTGCTGCTTCCGCCATGTGCTGCCCACACACACATGCGCACGAGGGGTGGTCGGGGAACAGGAGATGAGCGCCAGGGGGCAAGGTGTGGGGGAGCAAGCAAGACCCGAGGGTGGAGAGGGTGCCTGGGAGTGAGGAGAGGAAGGAGCGACACCAACGTGAAACCCTTTGCCACTATGAGGCCGAAAAGGCTCTCCTTACAATCACATTCGTTACTGTGACAATCAGTAGGGACCAGCCTGTAGCAGCGACATGGAGAGTGATCACAAGCACGGTGATTGCCATGGCATGCGTGCATGGCTGTCAGTGTCACCCCCACCCACCAGGAAGAGGCTCCTCCCCACCCACCAGGAAGAGGCTCCTCCCCACCCACCAGGAAGAGGCTCCTCCCCGGGTAGCCCCCGCTCGCCACAAACGCTTCCCACACCGCCCTCGCCGCCTGCAGCTGCCCCGCACTGCCATACACCCTGTGGCGGAGGGAGAGGGGAGGAGGGGGGAGATGGGGAGATGGGGGTAAGGGAGGGAAGGAAGGGGGGAAGACGGATTGAGGGAAGACGGATTGAGGGAAGACGGATTGAGGGAAGACGGATTGAGGGAAGACGGATTGAGGGAAGACGGATTGAGGGAAGACGGATTGAGGGAAGACGGAAGAGGTATGCAGCGGGCAGAGTGATAGGGACGAGAATGGCAGCCGTTGAGGGGTGCAGGTGGTGCTGTCACGGTGCATGCCACCCACCTGATGAGCTGGCGGTCACACCTGATGAGCTGGCGGTCCCACCTGATGAGCTGGCAGTCCCACCTGATGAGCTGGCGGACCCACCTGATGAGCTGGCGGTGCATGTGTGCACTTGGTGTGACCCCGTCCTCCCTCGCTGCTGCCATCACCCACTCCGCCCCCTGCATGGCATGGCATGGCATGGCATGGCATGGCATGGCATGGCATGGCATGGCATGGTATGGCAGGTCACGGCCCCAGCACAGGCCACAGGCACAGCACAGCATGATCATACGAGGGAAGAGCAGCATGAGGGGATGAGGGTGAAGGGCGAGGGGAGATGAACTTGAGGCACCGTGAGGGCCTGCTGCTGCTTGCCCTGCTTTCCGCCCCCACGCTCACCTGTGGGTCTCTGAAAGCCTGCATGGCCGCCAGCGCTGCCATGTAGTGCCGCACCGTGCCGCCCTGCACCGTGCCACCCTGCACCGTGCCACCCTGCACCGTGCCGCCCTGCACCGTGCCACCCTGCACCGTGCCGCCCTGCATGGCTGCTGCTTCTCCTCTCGCCGCCCCGTTATCTCCCTCCTCTTCCCCACCCAATCCCCCCTCCCCTCCCCCCACCCCTCCCCCTTTCCCTCCCCCCACATCCTCCCCCTGCCCTGGCGGCTCCTGAGAGGGCAGGGCGCGCGCATCATTCAGCAGCGCCAGCACCTGGGGGAAGGAGGAGGGCGGGGGGCAGGCGAGGGGGAAGGGAATTGCATGGCGCAGTGAGGGAGAGGGGAATGGTGGACGAGGGGGAAGAGCATTGGGGAGGGCGAGAAGGGAGGCAGAGGGGGATGCGGCGTGGCAGGAGGCAGCGAGTGGCAGGAGGCAGCGAGTGGCAGGAGGCAGCGAGTGGGCGGAAAGGGAGGTTGGGTTGGTGGCAGGGAGGGCACCTTGTGGTTGAAGTGCGGCAGGAGCGGGTGGTGGTTGGCGTGGGCGGTGATGAGTGCTGCCAGTGTGAGGCGCGTGCGCTGCTTGCCCCCCGCCTCCATCTCCCGCACCACTGCCTCCCTGCTCCCTTGGGCGGATGGTGAGGACGCACAACGACCGGCACGCAGGGAGGTTGCCATGCAGGGAGGATAGGAAATTTTGGAGTTTTTGTGACGAATGGCAGGGGGTATGTGCTGTGACGAATGGCAGGGGGTATGTGCTGTGACGAATGGCAGGGGGTATGTGCTGTACATGCCCATGCATGGTGCACCAAAGCAGGGCATGGCACAACAGGGCAGGGAGGGCAGGGCACAACAGGGCAGGGAGGGCAGGGCACACGAGTGGCAGCGAGAGGAATGGCGGGGAGGTGTTGGGTGTGCGGTGGGCGGTGGGGTGGAGGGGTGGAGGGGTGGAGGGAAGGTGGGCTCACGCGAGGGTGATGCGGCCGGTGTTGGCGGCGGCGTTGAGCAGTGCGGTGTATGTGCGCTGATGGAACTCCATGCCCGCCCTCCTCATGCCCTCCGCCACCTGCCATGCCATTCCCCGTGCCATGCCATGCGGGGAAGCGAGGCTGATAACACCGCCCATTCTTTGCATTTCACAGCAAGCAAGATGAGAAAAGAGGCAGCGGGTTCAGGAGTGGGCAGTACAGTGCAGGGGCGGGCAGTACAGTGCAGGGGCGGGCAGGGGGGGGACCTTGAAGGCGTGGTCGACGTGCAGGCAGATGGCACACGCGCTGATCACCATGTTGTGCATCACCACCTGTGCATGCATGGGGCATGGGCCATGGGGTGTGTGGGGCATGGGCCATGGGGTGTGGGAGGAAGGGGGAATGGGGCACAAGCAAGGAATGTGGGCGCATGGCGGGGTGCAGGGGTGTGCAGAGGTGGTGGTAGGCGTGGACGCACGCTGAGAGGCGAGAAGGGGGAAAGAGGCGGGGGAAAAGCAGGCAGCACACGGTGCTTACGTCAGGCACGATGCCACGTGTCTTCATGTGATTGAAGAAGAAGAGCACGTCGTGCAGGCGCCCGGCCTTCATGGCGGCGGCGGTGGCGATGTGGAAGGAGGTGCGGTCGGGCGCCACGCCGTCCATCCCCATCTCAGCCCACACGTCCCGCAGCACGTGCGCCCTGCCACCCGTCAGTCATGCAGATGGTGCCACGTGGCAGGCATGCAGGTGGTTGTGTTAAAGTGGCAGGTGTTAGGTGGGCTGAGTGAGGAGCTAGGGGTTGAGTTGACACGAAGGTGCGATGGCATGCCGTGCCATGCCAAGTAAGGGAGGCTCGTTATTTCTTCCACATGCCCTCCCCATCCACCCCCCTTCCACCCACCCCATCTCCCCCGTTCCCCGCCCCATCCCCCCCCGTCCGCGCCACCCGCGCACCTGTTAGTTTCCGCCAGGTGCTGCAGCACGTTGTTGTATCCGCGAACGCCGCGCGCATACACGCGCTCCTCCCACACTGGCGCACGGGCCTGCGTCCATCTCGCTCCACCGCCCTCTGCTTGGCCGTCCGACACCCCGCCGTCCGCCGTCGACTCGCGCGTCGTCGACGTCACTTCGTGCCAACCGTCGCCGGCGGCTGCTGACGTGGTACTGCCAGGTAGGACCGTCCCTTCCGGGGAATGCGGGGAAGAGGCGAATGTGGTCGCGGCGTGAACGAATCGGAGAGGCTGCGAGAAGGCGGAAAGGGGGTGCGCGAGGGGAGAGGTAGGCGCGGGGTGTGCGCCATGCGCGGTGGCTTCATTAGCGGAGAGGGTGGGCGGAGGCGTGGTGGGTGATCCAGAAGAAAGTGCCGTGTGGGTGCGGTTGGCGGGGGCGGCGCACGCGGAGGGAGGCGGAAGCGGCGATGGAGCGGCGGAGGCTGGCGATGGCACTGGGTTGGGCAATCCGCGCACTCGGCGGAGTGTGAGGGGGAGAAGGCGGCGGGCAGCCATGACCTCGAGAATGTCCGCTGATTATCGCCTTCGATAATGGATCGCATTGGATAGCGATGGATAAAGTCAGAATGCGGAATTTAGCCTTTACTCGACATTACACTGCACTACAAATTCGTGTTACGGCGGTAAAGAGTCTGACTATAGCTGGAGTTTTGATTTCCACTGCACTTGTCTGTTCCCTGGTGGTGCACGCACGCTGGAACTTGGGCGTTCAACGACGCTGATTGGTTGGCTGATTTCTAGTCCGACGTGTAGAGGCAAATGAGGTGTGCCATCGGCCACGTCAACTTGGCTCGGGGTCCAATCTCGGGATAATTGGGTAATTACCTTCCGGGTAACCAACATCGAGCCCGCTGACGTACGCAGTCCGCCACGTGGCTCGATGGTACCCATCAGATTATCCGATCTCCCCTGTGGTACCCGTCATTTCCCCGGTGGTACACATTATCCCTCCGTGGTACCTATCAACTCTCCACAGATTTCCCAACTGGTAACCAAACATTTCAACCGCAATGTACACCGTACGTACCGCGTATCAGCAGATTTGAACGTGTCTTCTACCTGACGAAGTGCAACCCTAGAAATCTCTCAACCCCCCTTCTCATTTCCTCGCGTTACCTCCCAAACCTCGTAAGCTCACCTTACTCGCATAGTTAGCGGAAATCTCGCGACCATGTTTCGCAGCAATCCTTACAGGTATGTCCTCGACCAATCATAAGTAAACGTAGTCACTGTTATATGCCTGATTTCACGTGTAAACCAGTGTGACGCTTCAAAAGGCCTGCATGGCGCAGCCATGAATGCGCCATGCATTGACACGGAGCAGAATAGTGTCTGCGCCATGCATTGGCATGGCGCTACATAATTTGCTGCGCCATGCATTGGATTGCATAAGGCAGCCGCGATTGCGCCATGCATTGGCATGGCGCTTCACACGGGCTGCGCCATGCAGCCATTGCATGGCGCAGAACAATGGCTGCGCCATGCAGCCATTGCATGGCGCAGCGTCGAATGCGCCATGCAGCCAATGCATGGCGCAGCCTCGATTGCGCCATGCATTGGCATGGCGCAGAATAATGGCTGCGCCATGCAGCCAATGCATGGCGCAGCCTCGATTGCGCCATGCATTGGCATGGCGCAGAATAATGGCTGCGCCATGCAGCCATTGCATGGCGCAGCGTCGAATGCGCCATGCAGCCAATGCATGGCGCAGCCTCGATTGCGCCATGCATTGGCTGCATGGCCGCAGGGCGCTTGATAAGGGCTGCGCCATGCAGCCCATGCATGGTGCAGCCACGATTGTGCCATGCATTGGCATGGCGCTTCACACGGGCTGCGCCATGCAGCCAATGCATCAACTGTTTCTTCTATTTGTGCCTAAATCAGTTGTTTCCAACATCGCGTAACCTCCAGCAGTTGTTCAACCTCCGAGGGTTGACTCGCCCATGTTTCGATATTTTCTGTTTTGCTTCTGAGTTAGTGTTTCGACACGACAGAGGCGCTTAGATCAGTTGTTTCCAACACTCCCCTTCGCTTCTGGAGTGTCGCTGCTGGTGACGTGTCTTTGTCCGGTTAGCAGCATGCAATATTCGAACTTCGACTTTCCGAGCTTCTTGGTAAAGTAATCAGCTGCCATCTCGGATGTGGGGCAGTAAGACAGCTCAAGTCTCCCCTTCTCGATCTCGTCCTTTACGAAGAAATATCGCAGGGCGATATGCTTCGTCCTGTTCGCGAATCCATTTTTGTTGGCTATGCGAATTGCCGACTGGTTGTCGCAGAATAGGGAGAAGCTGGGTAACTGGGCTAGCTTCGCTTCCTCCAGAAGTTCACGAAGGTACAGTCCTTCCTTGGTGGCTAAGCAGAGTGCGATATATTCAGCTTCAGCTGAGGAGAGAGCGATTAGTTCCTGTTTGCTCGACTGCCATGAAATAGGTCCGATAGGCTCGAGGCGGTAGATGTAGCCTGTGCGCGAGCGCCTGTTGTCAGGATCTCTGGCGTGGTCGGCATCGACGTACCTGATTAGCTTGGGCGTTGTAGTTTTGCTCTTGTAGTAGATTAGGCCGATCATCGGAGTACTAACGAGGTAGTGAAGGGCGCGGTCTAGTTCCGCCATGTGTTCAGCTTCAGGCCTTTTGAGGTAGGTGGCGAGTTGACTTGCGGAGTATGATAGGTCCGGGCGGCAGGTAACGGCAGCGAAGAGAAGGCATCCCAGCTTTCTCTGGTAGTTCCGTATTCCGGCGGGTTTTAGTGGAGCAGATTCAGCCTTGTTGTTTCCTGCCGTGTAGCGGTATGGCGTAGAGACGGTGGTAGGTGTAAACAAGAAACGTTTGGCGATGGTGTCGGCGTACTTTGCAGCGTTGAGGTAGATCGCGCTTTCCCCTTCCTGGATGTTGAGGCCGAGATACTGCGTGACGGTAGATGAGACTGTGAGTGTGAGGTCTTTCTGTAACTCCCTTTCGAACCAGGTAGTAACGTTGTCGGTCGATCCGATGTAGAGTAGATCGTCTACGTAGACGATCAATAGAATGTAGTCGTCGCCTTTCGTGAGCCGGTACATGCCTTGGTCATGGGGTAGCTGCCGGAATCCGATGCGAGTGAGTCGAGCGTGTAGGTACTGCTGCCATAGTCTCGGGGCCTGTTTGATCCCGTACAGGGATTTTTGCAGCTGACAGACTTGATTGGGCTCTCCGTGGGAACCATGTGGGAGTTCGACGTAGATTTCGGCGTCAATAGGTGCGTAAAGGAATGCATTGGCGACGTCGATTTGCCGCAGTTTCTTTTTCTTCATAGCAGCGATCGCGAGAAGAATACGTAGTGAGGTGTGTCGACTGACCGGGGCGAATGTCTCGGTGAAATCACGTCCTTGCTCTTGGTCGAAGCCGCGTACGACCCATCGTGCCTTGAACTTGTGAATGGTGCCGTCTGCTTTCGTCTTCACACGGAAGACCCACTTCCCGGTGAGTATTGTCTTGTTTTGTGCCACGCCGATAGGGACCACTTTCCAGGTGTTGCGCTCCTTCAGTGCTTCGAGTTCCTTGTCCATGGCTTCACGCCATTTTTCCCTGTGTTCCCCCCCAAGAGCCTGCTAAACTGTGGCAGGCTCCTTAGGAGTTTCGGTGCCGTGGACCGCGGTGACTAGGCCGAGTATCTGAAGGCCACTCTGTGTGTAGCGGGGAAGAATTGTGTCCGCGGGATAAGCTGCTTCATCACCCGTTTCTGTGTCAGGTATGAAGTTGGGCCCTATGCGTTCTGCTTCGTTGGTGTTGACGTCTGCAGGTGTAACATAACCGGTGTCGGCGAAGTCGAAATAAGTTTCGGCGTTGATGCTTTCGCGAGGATTTTCGTCGTCCATCTGGATAGGCACGGAGCAGTATGGGAGTGGTCCTGCTTCTTCCGAGGCGTTATCCACGTTCTGCTCGTCCCAGTCAGCTTTGTCTGCTGCCGAGGCGAAGTGTCGGTCACCACGGAAGCCACCTGTGGGATCCCGATCTTCTTCCAGGTTGGCAAGATATGTCGGAAGGGTGAGTCGTTCGTAGAAAATGACGTCACGTGCTGCTACTGTTTCTTTGGAGTGGACGTCGAAAATCTTCCACGCGTTGTAATTTCTTTCGATGCCCAGGTGTAGTCCCCACGGTGCGCATTGGGAAAATCGGCCGGCTCGTGCAGATGGTGGTCGGTACTGTACCATGCAGCCGAAAACTCTTAACATTTTTGTGCTGCCCTGTTTTCCTGTCCACAGCAGGTGCGGTGATGCGTTGTTCGGTAGTGACGACGACGAAAGCAAGTTGTGCAGCATGACAGCGTGGTCCATCGCTTCAGGCCACTGGTGATTGGGCAGTCGCATGCCACGCAGTAATTTGCGCATGGTGTTCTGGAGAGTTCGATTCATCCGTTCCGCCACGCCTTGTTGTTGATGGGCGTAAGGGAGCGAGATGAGCCTCTTGATTCCCCTTTCTGCCAAGAACTGCTTGAACCTCTGTGAGGTGTATTCTCCTTCGCCGTCTGACTGGAAGCTTTTTAGCTTCACGCCCGATTCTCGTTCTGCTACTGGGAGCCAAGCGATGAAGGCTTCGAAAGCCATGTCCTTGCTCGGAAGGTTGAGGTGCCAAACGTAACGCGTAGCGGCATCGATGAACGTGATGGTGTAGCTGTATGCTCCTTGTCCAGGTTCGCGATTGTACAGGATGTCGCTGTACACCTTTTCAAGTGGTGCGTAAGCTGGTGCGCTGGGGTTGTGGTGAGAAGTGAAAGGCTGATGTGGTAAGTCAGCTTCGGGGCAGGTAAAACATGTTCCACGTGCTCGTCGAAGTTCGCTTCCGTCGGTTAGAAGCAGTGAATCTTTGTCGAGTACACCTGCTCGGATTGTATTGTTTAACACCGTGTTGCTTGGATGTCCCATGCGTGCATGCCAGATGTCTTCGCTGGCGCGATGTCCGGGTGAGCGACGATACAGGTCGGAGTTGGAGTAGAAGCTTGCCGTGAAGTTTGCACTTCGATGTACTTCTTGTGATTTTGGGTGAAGCTGTTGCGCAGAAGTCGGTGGAGTGTCATCGATTTGAGGTGATGCAGTTGAAGGTCCAGCGATTGGTGTCGATGTTGCTGCTGCTGCTGTTGTTGTTTCTGCTGCTGCCGATGTTGTTTTTGCTGCTGCCGATGTTGTTTCTGCTGCTGCCGATGTTGTTTTTGCTGCTGCCGATGTTGTTTCTGCTGCTGTCGAGTGTTGAATTGTTGCTAATGCTCTTGTTCGTTCTGCTTCAGGGATGGTGTGCGAGTACCAGAAGCCTTCTAGACTGAAGTCGGGGTCAAGATCCGGTGGATGTGTCCAGGAGGTGAAGGTGACGATCCTGTCGCTGTCAGCGGTGCCAAGATCTGGGACGAAGTCGAGGACGAAAACATTGTTTTTCAGAACCGCCTTCCCGATGTAGAGACCGCCTTTCCCGTGGTATAACTTGAACTCCTGAGTGGTACTATTTGCTTCGAGGTGGATGCCCTTCGCC